TGGAAACCCCAAAATAATCGGGTGCTGAGCCGACTCAAAAATATGGAATTGCATGCTCTCGGTATGGTCCTTATTCACAGTAATCTGAATGGGCTCAGTGCAATGGGTGACTGAACAACAAGCGGCCGTCTAAGGCACTGGCATTAATAGGATGAGATAGCGGAACAGTCTTTATTTCTAGCTGATTTACTACGCCCCAGTCCATAAGACTTTCGTCAGCCCCTGAGTCTATTAACACACCCTGGTCAATGGTTTGATTGTTAATACAAATGTTTACCTGCGTAACAGGTCGAGGAGGAAAGTCTGCGGGAAACTTGCTCACCAGCGCCCTCCTTTTGACTGGTGAGCACGATCTTTTCCCGGGCATGAAGCGAGTTGATGATCCGACTGGCCGCAGTAGAAACAACAACCCTCCCGTAGACGGCGCTGCCTCTCCTCCAGAGAAAGCCTGGTTCTTCCCAGCTGCATGGGTTCCCCGGAGTCATTCGGAAGTGTAATCCTCTGACGGTGTGGTAACATGGGCTGGACATCCTCGGCTGGCGGCGCGACCCACCAAGATGCATTCTGGGAGCTGGGAATAACGTCTCGGTTGCGTCGACGCTCCCTCTCTCTTTCCCGAAGACGGTTATCGATCCGGATGGCCACGGCGATGAGAGATTCCAGATCCCGGGGTGTCTCCAGTGGAGCCAGCTGGTCTTTTATCGGTTCCGAAAGTCCCGTCATGAAGGCGTCACGAAGAGCCGGAACATTCCATCCGCTGTCCGCTGCTGCTGTGCGAAACTCGATGGCGTAATCAACCACCTGGCGGTTGAGCTGGCGTATATGAAAAAGTTTTCTGCTGGCCTCTGTAGCAGGCGATGAGTGGTCAAAAATACGACTCATAGTCTCTATGAAATCGGTCAATGAGTAACATAGTTCAGTTTCATTTGACCATTCTGCAGTAGCCCAGGCTGCAGCTCTTCCCGTTAAATGAGACACAATAAACGCCACTTTACCATGGTCCGATGAAAAGGCTCCTGGGTTGTGTTGAAAATGCAGATCGCACTGTACCAAAAAGGCTCTGCAATTAGAAGAATCTCCGGAAAATCTCTCCGGAAGAGCCAGCCGTAAAGGGGAAGAAACAGCCTGACTTGGGAAATCAGCATGAGCATTGACAGGCAACCTCTCAGTTGTGGATGACGTCACCGGAGGAGCAGTCTGTTGGTGAGTGAAAAAATGATTAATTTGGACAGCCAGTTGTTGCATCTGTGTGGATAATGCTTCCTGAATCCCGGCCTGGCGTCCTCTTAGTTCTTGCATTTCCTGGTTGACTAGGCCCAGCTGTTCCTCGTGATGAAAGATCTTCACGCCCTGTGCTGACAGCGCTGCGTGAAGCGTTCTTGGGTCGGCTGGGTCCATAATGGTCAGTTCGTTCTGTTACGAACTCAGACACTTAGGATGTAGAAACCAATTGCACGACCCGGGAGACAGAGGTAAAGTATTAGTAAGATACTTTATTTTCCAAAATACAGCAATGAACAACAAAAAAGGTAACTATCAAATCTCTAACCGAGATGACAAAAATAGAGGAACAAAATGAAAGCGCTCACGTAGTGAGGAATCAAACTTTACAAGAGTACGAAGAGCATAGACCTGACCATAGCAAGAGACAATACGAACTGACAAAGAACACTTGGGAGACAGGGGAATATAAGCACAGGGTAACTAGACACAGGTGGGACCAATCAGGGGCGGGGCTGACATTGATGAGCACAGGAGACACAGGTGAAAATAATCAGGAAGCCTGGAATGAGAGAAAGCAAACGTAAATAACATGCATCTCTCTAGCATTTCTGTCGGTGCACAACAACATCTTATGGGAACTTTGCTTCTTTTGAATATGTGGCCCTTCAGCTGAAATGCTCCTCTCGAGTTCTGTTCCTGAATATCTATAGACCACCCAAATACTGTGCAAGCTTTTTTGATGACTTTACTGAACTGCTGTCTATAGTGTGTATTGACTTTGACCGTCTCGTCATTGTTGGTGATTTTAACATCCATGTTGACAACCCCCAGGACAGAGGGGCTTAAGAACTGTTTTGTGTTCTTGATGACTATGGACTGACTCAGCATGTGACGGAGCCCACGCACAATAAGGGTCACACTCTGGACTTAATTATCTCAAAGGGTCTGAATATCTCTAAGGTTGTGGTGACAAAGCGATATTTAACTGAAAATACTAGGGAAATGTTTACTCAGAATTTTTCTTCCACACTTGCCCCCGCTAACATCTCAGTAAATGAGCTAGTAGATCATTTTAATTCAAAAATGTAAAATGTTATAGATGCCATTGCTCCAACTAAGATAAAGGAAGTGACTGGCGAGAAGATATCTCCATGGAGAAAGGCCATGACCGTGAAAACAGAAAAAAATTCATTTTGAACCCACCAGGGCCTGCAATGAATTTGCCTCCTTCTTCACTGACAAAATTCAGAAAATTAGACAAGCAGTCAGTGCCTCTGCATCAGGTACAGCAAATGTGTTGTTCCTGTGTCCACCTAAAATCAATTCAGACATCATGACACAATTCCATCAGATTAATGATAAAAACCTAGAGGACATTATACAACTTCTGAAATCCTCCTCCTGCTGCCTTGATATTATTCCAACAGGATTTTTCAAAAATGTTTTTCATTGCATGGCCTCAGATCTACTTCATATAGTAAACAAGTCTCTTCACTCAGGTGTTTTTCCACAGGCTGCAGTCATTAAACCGCTCTTAAAAAATAATAATCTAGATGCTTCAGTAATGAACAATTACAGGCCCATATCAAACCTGCCATTTCTAGGTAAAATCATTGAAAAAGTTATTTTTCAACAGTTGAGTAATTTCTTGCATTTAAATAACTGTTTCGATGTGTTCCAGTCAGGCTTTCGTCCAAACCACAGCACTGAGACTGCTCTTGTAAAGGTCTTCAATGACATCCACTTAAACATAGACAGTGGCAGAACTTCAGTGTTTGTATTATTAGATCTCAGTGCTGCGTTTGACACTGTTGACCACAACATATTACTAGACCGACTAGAAAACTGGGTGGGACTTTCGGCAACAGTTCTAAATTGGTTTGAATCCTACTTAAAGTGGACCTATCATGCTATATTTTAATAATATAGTGTAGGACCATACCTATATAAGGCATATTTATACTTATACCAAACAGATCATGCATTTTAGCCATGCCTCATTTCGCTCAATTTGCACTTTTTTAGCCCTGTTTTTGCAAGGGCTGATTCTGTGAGAACAGCACCACCTACAGGCCTGGCATATGTACTACAGCGTCTCCAGCGCTTTCGAACGGCAATGGCCGTGGCTGTCTCCTCCTGATTGGTGGAGTTGGCCCAATAGCCGTAGCGCCACTGTCCTGACGTCAGGACAGTGTTCAAATCTGGATCAGTTTTTATCAGATCCGTTGCAGCCCCTTTTTTTAGAGATTTGGGTATGGAGGAAAATAGAGAGGGTTGTGTTTTCTGACACTTGGTGAGTTCCCTGGAACACCGGGGACACATATACATGTATAAAAGACGTACAAAAGTGCATTTTGCATGATAGGTCCCCTTTAAAGGACAGAAACAACTTTGTTTCTATAGGTAAATACACATCTGAGTTGACACATATGACATGTGGGGTACCTCAAGGCTCAATCTTGGGGCCTCTTCTCTTTAACATCTACATGCTACCACTGGCTCAGATAATGAAAAACAACAAAAAGAGTTACCATAGCCATGCGGATGACACACAAATGTACGTAACCATTTCACCAGGAGACTATGCTCCAATTCAAACACTGAGTAAGTGCATTGAACAAATGAATGACTGGATGTGTCAGAACTTTCTCCAATTAAATAAAGATATAACTGAGGTAATGGTTTTTGAAGCCAAGGCAGAACGTATAAAAGTTAGCGCTGAGCTTCAGTCTGCAATGTTCAAAACAACAGATGAAGCCAGAAATCTAGGTGTAGTCATGGACTCTGACCTGAGTTTCAACAGTCACATTAAAACAGTTACTAAATCAGCCTACTATCACCTTAAGAATATATATAGGATTAAAAGACTAATGTCACAGTAGGATTTGGAAAATCTTGTCCATGCTTTTATCTTCAGTAGACTGGACTACTGTAATGGTGTCTTCACAGGTCTCACTAAAAAATCTATTAGAAAGCTGCAGCTAATTCAGAACTCTGCTGCTCGAGTCCTCACTGACACTAAGAAAGTGGATCACATCACCCCTGTTCTGAAGTCTTTACACTGGCTTCCTGTGTGTCAAAGAATTGATTTCAAAAATATTGCTGCTGGTTTATAAAGCTTTGAATGGTTTAGGTCCAAAATACATTTCTGACCTCCTGCTAAATTATGAACCATCCAGAACTCTCAGGTCTTCAGGGACTGGTCTGCTTTCTGTCCCCAGAGTCAGAACTAAACATGGAGAAGCAGCGCTCAGTTATTATGCTCCAAATATCTGGAACAAACTCCCAGAAACCTGCCGGTCCGCTGCAACTCTGACTACTTTTAAATCCAGGCTGAAGACTTTTCTTTTTGCCGCTGCTTTTTATTGAACTATTCATATCTTAAACTGCACTGTAACTTTTATCCATGTATTTTTTTCTTTTAATGTTTATTTTTTATTATCTTTGCTTTTTAATGGCTGTTTTTAAATGTCATTTTCCTAATGTCTTTCATCTTTGTAAAGCACTTTGAATTGCCTTGTGTTGAAAGGTGCTATATAAATAAACTTGCCTTGCCTTGCCTTGCCTTGCCTTGCCTTGCCTTGCCTTCACAGTTTCATAGTGAACCTAAAATATTTGTACACTTCTCAGCGGGTGGGCTTGCCCTTGCAGGCAGGACAAGCTCTAGTTCTGCTTTAAAGCGACCTAGAGGTGAGGGACGGGGCAGACTGTCCTTATCTGATTATTTATAAACGGTGTAATCACAATTCATTAACCATTCTGTATTTATCCTCTAGATGCAGTTCACACTCTCACCTGCGCCGTCATGCTGCTGAACACTGATCTACATGGTCAGGTGAGTAATGACTAGTATGTGATGGAAGCATTGCTGGATTTGAGACTGTTGCCCCCCATGCAAAGACACATAAACAACCCAACCACCTTTCCTATAAAGGAGCAAAACACACAGACTTTATAGTTGTTTAGCCTCTTTTTGTATTTTGTGTCTCTGTCATTCTGTTCGTTTTTAAGGTAATTTTGTGTCGCTTTGTGTTGTTTATTGTTATTTTGTGGAACTTTAAAGTCAGTGTGAGTGTCTTTGGGGTCATTTTGTGTTTCTCTGTATTAATTTTGTGTATATTTGAAGTCATTTTTGTATAATTTCTGGGTTAATCTGTGTCTCTTTGAAGCCATTTTGTGTCTCTTTGTGGTCACTTTGTCTTTTTTCAGTTGCTTCTCATCTCTCTGCAGTCCTTTTGTGGTCAATTTGTGTATCTTTGTGGTCAATTTATGAAGTTATTTTGTCTATTTTTGTGGTGATTTTGTGTTTTTTGCAGTTGATTTGCATGTGTTTGTAGTGTTTTATGTTCCTCTGTGGTCATTTTGTGTCTCTTCTTCGTTGGTACATGTGTCTTCAAGTGACATTTTCGGGTCAAGGCCAGTGGGGCCTCTAAAACTTTGTCCCCCTTGGCCTCTGCCAGGTAGGCTTGTCCAATAATCCATCCATGTCTGGCTTACATATGTACACGTGTTGCATTCAGGTAAAGAAAAAACGTATAAAAGGTGATTTTTAAGAGCAGAATTCTCCTCAGATGCCCTTTTGATTAACTCTGGAGTTTGGGGAATATAAGCCTGATCAGCAGCTGATCTGCAGGTCTGCCTGCTGAGCTCCTCTCACCATCATTAATGTGCTACTATTATAGTCAGAGCCTCGCTGTGCAAATCTGGGCCACTCTTCTCAGTGATAGTACAGCTCTGCGGATAAATGATTAATTAAAGTGGCTCAAGAAATTCAGCTTCTTTAGGAAAGTTTAAACTCATTTGAACTGATATACCGTAAGTGTGATCTCGGTGGTGACTCTGATCATCATCACTTTCATCCTCTTTCAAATGTTTCAATTAATCTAGAAAATATTTCTAAAATGACCTCGTTTTTGTTAATCAGTAATTATCTGATCAAAGAATAAGTAGTTAAGATAAGATGTTGTTTTGTAATCTCAAAAATACTATATACTGTACATGATTTCAGTCATTGTTGTAACCCATTTAAATGTGTGTCTGTTATAAAATCACAGTATTTTTTAATTCACTTTTATTCCATTATGATATATTAGTATAGCTTATACTGCTTACTACCCTGCAGTGTATATCAAATAATAAAAAGTGGGCTCCAGATTTAACAGATGCACATTGTAGTGATGAACACTTTAATGCATCAATAATTCTAATCCAGTGATTACACCATTTGATTGTAAAAGGATAAATCCTGCATCAAGAGTACTTAAGCATTTAGATGCTAATATTGTTGTACTTTGACTAAAAATAAGATATCAAATTCAGGATTTGTACTTGTTACTGAGTAGTATCACATTGTTGTCTTGATATTTCTACTAAATATGAGTTCTGAATACCTTTTCCACCACTGTGTGTAAATATTGGTATGTAATTAAAGCCAATATTCCATTGTTTTCAGAACATCGGTAAGAGGATGTCGTGCACGCAGTTCATCAGCAACCTGGAGGGACTGAACGACGGCCAAGATTTTCACAAGGATCTGCTTAAAGTAAGTCTAAAATAGCACACACACACACGCGCATGCTGTCATGCACAGACACGAGACGAGAGCAGACTGTGTGCCAGCGTTGTATTGTCCCTCCGATCTGGCTGTCTGGCCTGCGCTCACTGCCAGCTGGCTTTCACCACATCTCCAGAGGCCTCCAATCAGAAGCCTGCCTGCACCCAACACTTCCTGGTATACTCCAGCTGGAAGACGAATTGTTATGTGATGTGGAGCCGCCCCTCGGGGCATCTGCAGTATTAGATTAGGCTTTTAGTTTAACCCAGTTGACTTTGGTTGCAATAGATATAGTGAGCCATCAGACGGGGGGGTCAGACGGAGGGCTGGAGCCACGTGATGTGGTGAAATAACCCAATCAGTGCAGGCTGCCTGTCCGGCTGTGCGCCTAATGATGATGTCGTTGATTCGTTTTGTCTGCTGAGTGGTCCGTCAACATGCCACAGGACCCCAGAGTGCAAGTCAACAAGTTGTAATGGGGTATTTATAATGCATGAGGGGCAGAGAGCGAGGCCACGTCCGTCTGCCGCAATGAATTGTGAAATGAAAAGCTGTTATTAGGAGCACATAGTTTCCATGCTAAGTGAGAAATAGAGAGAGAAAGAAACAGTTTCACAGACGTGCATTAGATGTTTTATTAATGCTTGTATGGATCCCGGAACAGGCTTTTAATCATGCCTTCCACTTTCCACAAGCTCTTTTATTCTCTTTCATTCTCAATGAGAGTCCGTCTCACCCTCCAGCTACACTCTCTTTTCTCTCCTTCTCTTGTTCTCACATTTTAAATGTTCTAGCCTGCCCAATCTCACTTTCTCCTTATCTTGGCTCTGTTAAGCCTCTGTGCAGTATAACTCCATCTCCAGACTGTCTCACTGCCAGCTTTTATCTGCCCATTTTCACCTCCACCCAGATCTAACTCTCCGTTCCTGATCGTCTTCTTTTCGCCCTCCTCTGCTTCACTTTCGACTTTGTGTTATTTCTCTTCAAAGGTCTTAATAGGTGGTTGAGGGATTTACTAAATTAGTACTCTTAAAACTGAAATGGGCCCTTTTATGCTTTTGGGTGTATCCCTTTCCTGTAGTGTGTAATATAGGTTTTTGTGCATGTAAATGGTCTGCAAAGGCTAAAATCCCTGTGTTCCCTCCAGAGGGAGTTTCTCTCCCACACACTCCACCCCTGCCTGAAACACCTCCATTGGACATTTGTTTACTTCCGTAACATAGTGACATCCATATGTTACACTCACGCTCCTATTGGCTAGCGCTCCAACACATTGTAGGTGGCATATAGGCTTAGGGGCGGAACATCTCTAATCGGTTGACCAATCACAACAGAGCCATCCAGCTAACCAATCAGAGCAGACTGGGCTCTGGTTTCAGACAGAGGGTGAAAAGAGGTGCTGCAGCACAGGCAGTATGAGAAAAATAAAGAGATGTTTGAACATTAAAGTATGGAGACATGTCACAGTAGAGACACAGAATACAAATATGAACCTGAAAATGAGCATGATATTACAATCTTAAAGGATTCTCTGTACTAAAGTAGAACTAACTGCCTAAATGTAAATTTAAAGAGTTATTTGTTGCTGTTTTCATTTTTAATAACGCAACTACATTTTAAGAGATGTGAGAACTGAGTTGGTCCATTCAAGTGAGTAGCTTCCGAATGACATTTTTTTTTAAAAATAATTCCTTCTTTGAAGGAAACTGAGCTGCAGTTTAACAGTTACACTTCCCAGTTAGTTTGACAGCTTTATATAACAACTAAACTTTATTGAAACATTTTTATGTTGCAACTTTTTAAGTATTTTTGTTAGGCATATAGGTTAATAATACAGGGGTAATTTATTGCCCTTTTACAACAAAGGCTTGCGCAAAACAATTGCATTTCAATCCCACCAAGCAATACTATTACATACAAATGTATTTCTCTTAGTACCATTTTCTTTCTTGTCCCTCCCTTTTTTCTCTGTTATCTCTTCATCATTTCCTGCAACAAAATAATTGCCATCCCCTCCTCCATCCGTGTATTCCCCATTTCCTATCCTCATTCTCCTGCTTTCCCATTTCCCCTTTCGTGTCTGGTATCTGTGTATGTGCTTTAAATACATTAGGATTCAGCCTGGGAAATCCCTCACTCTGGGCCATTTTCTCACTGCTGTTTATTCTGCACAACACACATGTACTGTATATCTCACACATTTCCCCAGACTCACCACTTGTTTACTCTGTTATCTTATTCACAACAATATTATATCGAACATTGTGCTTACATCACATGTTTCCTTTAGTTCTCTGCCATCCTTCAGACCCTTTTTCCGTCCCCTATCTTTTAATTTGAAGTGGTTAATACTGCCCTAGTACAGCATTCAATATCTTCCTCTCACTTTGCCATACTTGTATACTTACCATAAAGTAATTAGTTATTAATTTATTCTTTCTACTTTTCCATCTATATCTTAATTGTCATCTCTGTCTTTACATATGTGTCTAGACAACAAAATGCACTGCTAGAAACTCAGTTATCTTTTCTTCAATAATTTGGTTAATGACCAACACAATGCATAAAAATGCAAAAATAATGACATTCCCTTAAGAGTAGGACACAAATTGGCACTACACAAAGATTATTTGTACATATTTCAAACTCATTTAACTTACTTTTTCATGTCTTCTTATGCAGTAATCACACAGAGCAGAATAGTAGACATTTAATGATGCGTTCAGGCAGTAAGGTTAAACATACATATTTTGGAGACAATATCTGCATTTACTCAAGGTTGGATAAAGTCAAAGCTCTGCATCCACGTGGAACGCATCCATCATAATGCACGGTACAATGCGATTATTTGAGTGTGTGCCATATGTTTAAGCTTCACTCTTCACTGAGGGACAGGAAACACTGCTGAGCCCTGTAACTAAAACAGAAAGCAGCTGCCTGCTGGACTGGAAAATAATAAGAGAGGCTTTGCATCCCCATGACACCTCCTGCCACCTCTGTCCCTCAGGTACCCTACCTACCTCATCATCAATTAGTTCCATTCGCTTTGCATTTTCTAGATTTTTATGCTTCAATAACTCTCTCAGTTGTTGCCTTTTCTTCCTCTTTCGCAATTATTCACTTTGCTTCTCTCTCTCCGCTTATTTTGATTAAACCTTGTGATATTTTCCCCATTAGCACCACAATGGAGGAGCAGATTGTAGCAATCTCCTGAACTGAACGAGTGAAGCTTTGGCTTCAAAACCTTCTCTTATACACTTTCCAGAACCCAGATGAAAGACTCAACTTTTAACCCCAATATTTTAATTGCTGGGCAGGGAGTGTACAGAGTATTTTTGTATGTAAACGGCTGCTTTCTGCGGAAACAAAAACTGTAAAACTGGTAGTTTTCTAAACCAAAGCAAAGAGCTGAAAGAGGCTAAAATGCACCATAAAGCTTAGGGGAGCTGAAGCATCGGGTGATAATTATCTGTGCAAAGCTAAGACTGACTCCTTACATGTTGACCTATCTCTTACAAAGGTACAAAAGCCCTTAGAGGCAAATTAGAAAAATCACATCCGTACCCAAATCTCTAAAAACGGGGGTACAACGGAGCTGATCCAGATTTGCTGCCGATATGACAGAAACGTTGCTATCAGAAACGATGCACAACGTGTTTTGGACATAATATGGTCTTTGTTTACATTAGCAAGCATCGCTAACAACTTCGCTAACAACTTTTTTAACTTGTGTAAAAAAGCAGGATATAAAAAGGAAATCACCTTGTGGTAAACCCGCAAGAGAAAAGCATTTGAGCTCCATACTGTTTCAGAAATAATCCTTGATGTGGTTTTGAACATGATGCGTTTCATCATGGCAGCATTTAGCTGAGTATGTCGGTAATTCTGAGCAGCATAAGCTCCCCCCCCCCCCCCCCCCCCCCCCCCCCCCTTCTTTTCTTTTTTAAAGCTAAGACCAGAATCTGCCCTTTTCTAACAGGGCTGAAATAGAGGGGTATGAGGCATGGCTAAAATGGGTGATCTGTTAGTTTGGTATTTTGAGCAAAACACTTCATAGACATGTTTTTTATATATTTCTATATATCTGAGACCTATAATATATGCCTAAAAATAACATTATAGGAGATTTTTAAGTCAGAAAAAAGGAGGAAAAACACGTTGGATCAGACTTAAAAAATTGATCACCAGATCTTTATTGAGGCCCTAAGAAGAGCAGCATTTAATCATATTTTAGTTTCCAGATTCAATTGATTGAGATTTGCAATGATTGAGTTGTATATTCTTTTAAATTGCAATGTTTGTTCTTAAAATATGAAAAATGACAATATGATTGCACTGAGAATTGAATGTCACTCCCACCAGAACCAGGATGGATGACTTTAGCTGCATACAGTACAGGCCACATGTCCGTTCAACGACTGATGCTTGTATATCTCAATCATCGTGTTCTTGTTCCAGGATTCATAATGAGGCAATAAAGTATTTTAATGCACTCCAGAGGATATTTCCTCCCACAGTTACCCACACCAGACTATCAGTCAGTGGAGATGTGATAGACTGCTCATAATCCAAGCACAGAGGCCAGTCAACAACTCAGTAAACATTCATTCTCCATCACAAACCTCTAATGTGCAAGTAAATTATTGGAACTCAGTAAATTGTGATTTATAGCAACCCAATTTTATCTTCTAATAACATTATGGGAACCAATCTGTGAACATTAAGCGGAAACAAAGGTCAGTCTGGTCAGGGAATCATTCAGGTTATTCAAACATATTTAGAAGAGAAAATAAAATACAAATCTAAAATAATTCCCCAATGGTCTGTTTTAAAGGTCCCATGACATGGCCATTTCTACTGATCATAATTCCATTGTTGAGGTCTACTAGAATATATTTACATTGTTCAATGTTCCAAACTCACATTGGTTTCTCATACAGCATCTCTGTATAGTATGTGTATTCACTCTCTGTCCTACTGTGCTCTGA